ATGCAGTTGACCTAAAGGCAGAAAGATCAACCGATTGTGTCTTACTCAAGACTGTTTTGTATTGTTTATAGGCTAGCAAATGGAAATGGTGCAACTATATTGATGTAAATTCTCTACCCTGTGACCTCCCATAGAAGTAGAAATTTTGTTCATCTTAATTCTACTTTATTTACACCATAGTTAAAGTTATGGCTCTACCTACCAAAAAGGGAAATGGCACAAGCTGATGTGGAAGAAATGAGATGGGGGTGTGTAATCTATTAAATCACCTTGGAAGCACATTGATTTGTCAAGCAGAGTTAAGTATTCTGGGATGAAAACCATTCAAACAAGAGCATGCACTGAAGTTCTGCTCCTGCATGTGACCCTAAACTATGAAATGTCTGAAGCTTTCTAGAGCTGCTTTATATTCCAAGGAGTAGTTTTACACTTTTACTAAGCTAATCCAGTAGCTAGGTGTTCTTGCTAGGGATGGTTCTGTTCACTAGCTGCTCCTGCTTTTCTGCACTCGTGTTCGTCTAATCCTGTGGTGAGCTCATTCAGAAAGTGAAGCTAGTAAAAAGGGGATTACTGTTTCTGTGGTTCACTTCTGTGAATTAGCTCATCATAATGTCAAATTCTAATGCAGGTATAATGGTGAAGGACAGAATGGGAAAAGAGGCAAAAGGAGTAAGACTGGCAGCAGTTATCTGTTAAATCACTTTAATAATAAGAAAGGAGAGGAGCACATGAAAAAATCTGTATAAAGTGTTAACTAAAACTACTAATTTTCTCACTATTTTCAGTTCTTTGCTTTCAAAGATGGAACATAATTTTTATTGAAGTGGTCATTGTTCTCACAGCTTCTGGCTCCTGAATGTTGTGGGAAAGAGGAAAAAAAATTCTTTAATTAGTGGGAAAAGTTTGGAGAATGGAAACAGTAAGAACCTTTTTGCCAAGACCTCTGTAGTTCATTCTTGCAGTGGGGTGTAAGAACCCAAATCTGTCACATTATCAAGAAACTTGCATTCTATTGTTTAAGTTTTGATTTCTGAATACTGACTTTTAGGATAGTTACTCTTTTACCACTGGGCCAAAACTTAGACTGCGATTGTGAAGTAATCTATTCAGGCCACTCCAGCTTTTAAAAAAAATACTGTCTTGGAAATTGAATGCTCTAAAATGGTAGCTATTGTCAGTCAGTTGAAAATTCTCAGCTGAGTATATCATGAAACAAAGCAGAAAGCACCACTTTTTCATGCATTTAGAATCATGGAAAGAAAGCTTATGAGTATAATTGAGTGCACATGAAATTTGTGGAAACTGAACTACTGTCTTGATGGATGAATGTACCAGTACAGTTTACCTTGTATCTTAAGCCTTGAGTTATTAATGGAATTGAAATAAGCTCTTTCAGCCCGACCTAGTTAGTAAGGAGCTTCTGGCAAGTAAATATTCTCTTGCTAATGAGATCCTGGGACTTTGTGATGGGAGATGCATTTTGCAGAACAGTGAAGGATTTTTTTTGTTCTTTTCCGATGTCAGGAAGAGAAGAAGTTTGGATTGTAAGATTGCTTCAGCTCTTCATCTTTCATATGACTTGTTTCACTGTTTGTGTCTAGAGAGGAGGCTAGGGGATCCCATTTCTCAAGCAAAATTTGCAGTTAGATGGGAGTTCAACAGTGGCACTTGAGTTTCTAGGTCTCTTTCATACTTTATTTTCTTTCCAACATTAAGGTACTCAGCAATCAAGGCTATGAATAGTAGGAATCTTCCTTAGAAGTACTTAAGTTCTTACTCAGGAAGTTGACACTGGTTTAAAGAGTATGTTTTAAAATAGAAACTTCCCAGTAGGATAAACCTATATCTGGCAGTCTCTCTTTGTTTCCAAAAGCATATCTTTAGAAATTTTCCTTCCAGGATGAGGGACTCAGTATGATTGGTATTCATAGTATCTTGGCTCTTAGTGTAGTCATTGTACCTTTATTCCTAGATTATTTGCTAAAATGAATTGAGGGATCTTAGTCCTATATTTTACTTTCATCTTTTTACAATGTGACTTCTGTAGCCCTTACCTTAGTACAGGTCAGAGCTCTTGTCTTCCAGACGTGGATCTAAAATGTCAGAGTATTACCTGTATGCATTTACTTACTTGTAGGTCTTCTGAGCTTCTGTAATGTTTCAAGCTTGCACATTACACTTAAGAATCCTGTCCAGAAGACCAAGTAAGACTTAATCCTTCAGTATAGGCAGTGCTTGTGGAAAATCAGTTTTGTTCACATTAGGCTCAATTTTCTGATCACTGAGGTTAACCTTTCAGTTTGAGTAAGGAAGATAAAGCTCTTCACAAAAGGATTTTGATGCTGATAAATCAGCATATCAACTCTAGACAATAATCCTGTTAGCAATCCAGGATTGCCTCAGAAGAGAGATACAATCTACTTGTATGAGATGTGTATCAGTAAATAATATTGAGACAGAAGAACATATCTATTACAAAATTAAAATAAAGCAACACAAGCTTCCCTGTGCTGAAATGTATCTAGTCTCAGTTAAACCATATGACTTCCTTTTCTCTTCCATCTTCTGTTGCTTCCATATTGGAGTTAATGTTTTGTTGCACAAAATCCCTTAGAAATCTTATAAATGGGAAGTGTCCCATCTGGATTAGGTATGTGAAATCTGCAGGGGATCTAATTGTGTCTAAGCAGAAGAGAAAGGGGAGATTCTTTGAGTGGAGGAACCAAAACTATTCTTTGGTCAGGTTTGTGAAGGTTGCATTGCAGAAGATAACGCATTGGTTTGGATAGACAGTAAGATCCCCTTTTCCATCCCATCTGCCCACTCATGGTTACTTGTGAGCATGCTCACAAGTTGTCTGTTCAAACATGACTACCCCCTCTTTATTTTTCCCACTTTTCGTAAGCTTTTTAATAATTCCATGAAACTTAGAAAACTAAGTTCTTGCACGTGTACCTGACTCTACAACCTTCTTGGTTAACAATGTATTGGCTTCATCTTTGTAGAGACCATAGCCTGTTCCTGTGGCTAATATTGTAGGATTGAGTAAAGGAGAAAAATGCCATCTCAGCCAGACAGTTGGCTTTGTGTGTGCATACAGCTAAGGTGAATTTCTTGATCAGTGCTACAGCATGTAGTTGCCCACTGTGAACATATTTATTAAATAGTAAACATCTCATCTCATAAATAAGACTTAAATTTCTGCACAGATTCTTGTTACCAGTATGATCATGACACAAATATCTGAAACTGCTTCACAGAGGCACACTGTAACTTTTACTACTAGCTGACCCAGTAGGAAAGCAGCTTCCTTCTAGAAAGAACTTATTTTTAAGTAAGCACAACTTCATATGGACCAATAAAGGAGTGATTGTTCTATATAGCTGACAGATTTATTGAATACTGTTTCTACAGTGGATATTCACTTCAGTTGGGATGCAAATGTTGCTTTCTACTAGTTCATTGCTTAGGCTGCTCAGTATTCACAACTGTCAGTCTTTCTTAAATTACCTTCTCCTTTCCTCAAGAAAAGCTTTAAAATATTTTCTTGTTTCTGTTCTTGAAAGTATTTTCCTAGACAGCCCATTCTCTAACTAAGAATCTAATTCAGAAAGCAAGGCCATGTGAGGGCAAGTGGTACTGCTGGAGGTCTATTTAAAGTTTGCTTGGTTTAAGTGAAGAGTCTTTGCTTCCAAGCAATGAATCTTTTAAGAAAGAGCAATAGAATATTTCAGTAATTACTTTAACAGTAAAGATCCTTGATGCTGAGGCAATAGTGTCTTTTAGTATGGTAACTCCTAAACTAGTAATTGGCCAAGCCACATCGCTTGCTATACTTTGCTATATTTTGAGTCAGATGGCTGGAAGTGGAAAAAACACTAGTGGTTTGGGGTAAAGAGTAAGTTTTTCCATTATTTTCAAGTTCAGAATACTTTGGACTTAAGTACAAGGTAAAAAGCAGCA